TCGTCTCCTTATTCTTTTTATTTTATTATTGAACCCCATATATATAGTCGAAAGCTTTTTGGTTTTTGTTTTTTAAAGTCTTCTTTTCTTTTCACTGTCTCTCGCAATCTCCGATTCTCTTCTTATTTCGTCGCCGTCATTACTGTTTCTCGTCGGTAAGTTCCTCTCTATCATTTCCTTCTTCCCCGACGTTTAATCTCATTTTCCGATTGTGAAAAATCCTTTTCTTTTTCCAGTTTTTAACTCGCGCACCAAACGTGTTCGATGAAATGTCTCAAAGAAACTCATTTGGACTGATAACGAAAATGCTTTATCTCTTTGCTTTTGTTCGTGATTTTGTACAAAATCACATTAATGTGATCTGGGTATGCTTTCGAATTGTAAAAAAGTTTTCCCCGATTCGTCTAGATCTAATGCTCATGTTTTAGTTTTGGAATCGAAATTTCGCGTCTTTAGAAGCTAATGTTAAGGAAACGGAACCTAGTTTTGGGAATCGTTGCTTAGAGTTGATCACAGTGACATAGAAACCTTAATTTTAGGGACTCTGTTCATTCTCATAGTTTGCACATTCTCGTAAAGTTTGTACCTTTCTATGAGGCATTTACCATTTTGGCTTTGAAGAATATATCTGAATTTGCGGTTGAAATGATTGTTGCGTCTGTTTGTTAAATCTATCAGATTACAATGTGTGATATGTTAAGTTGTTTATGTTTCATTGTGTTGCTTATGTTAAGCTGGTATAGTTTCAAGGAAGATGGCTAGTGGTAGCCTGAAAAGCCTTATATCTTCAGCAGTGGGTCGAGGTGTGACCGAAGCAAGAGCCAGGATTTTCGGACATATGCTTAACCCAACGGGACAGAGATCTCCTCATAAGATATTAAGGAAGAAGCTTATTGGTGATAAGGTTGCAGAATGGTATCCATACGACATCAAGAATGAGGATCCTAATGTCTTGGCTAGAGAGGAACAAGAGTACTTTCCTAAACCTCTCTGTTTTTTTGTTTACTTTTCAATTAATTGCCATAGAAATTCTTTGAGTCGGATTGAGCTGTAATGTTTCCACAAGCTCTAGTTCAACTGCAAGTTCGGTTTAGTATCAGAAGTCCTAGAAATGAGAAAGAAACTCGATGTAGATTGTATGGGTACTGTAAGTGGTTGTGATTTGTGATGCGCTTATGCAGAGTCCTGTTCTTTTGTTTCTGGTGTAAAATGCAACAAAGTCACGATTCAATCTTATTTGGCAAGGAGAGCTTTAAGGATTGTACTGTCTTTGAAATTTACTTACACTTGGTTTTGTCCACTGTTTGTACTTTATAGTATCATTGTTTTGTCATACTCTGTCGAGGGGCATTTTAACTTAAGTTTGTGTGTTGTTGTAGGCGGATATCGAAGCTTGAGATGTTGAAGCGTCGTAACAAAGGACCACCAAAGAAGGGTCATGGAAAACGTGCTGCGAAGCGTAACAAGTAGAAGTAATAACCATTGCTACAAAAAAAAACTCTGCACTTTTAGAATCAGCTCTTGTGGTTGGATCAGATAGAACAAGTAAAAATTTCTCCTACTTAAAACTGCATTGGTTTCTAGTGATGTTACTATGTTGAGACATAGTTGAAATTGCTTCCCTTTTGACTAAATGTCAATGGCTTTGTTTCTCTTCTCTTGCTGCTTTTCACCTAAATTTCGATTTTGCGTATATTCGTATTAGTCATACTAAGTTAGGCTTCTTACGAGGGTAGTGCTTGAGAATGCTCGCCACAACCAGATGTTGTATATGAGGAAAAATCGAACTCAACATACTAAACTTAAGGCGCACAACACGTGAGAATGGGCACCAGGAAGCATAAAAGAGTACTGACATATAAGTATTTCTATTGTTTGAAGCCATTAACATGTCCAGTCAGTGAGTCTCCATCTACCTGCATAATGCAAATTTAGACACTGGTTAGTTAAGAATAAAGAAGCTTCAGGTCCAACTTCATGCCCTTAGATAAACGGTGACGTTTGGCTCTAAGCCTAGAGCATGCCTTTAAGGGCTTAATTGGTTCCCCCGCTAGCACCCGCTTAGCGGTTGTTAGCGGTCGGTTGCGGTTGGTACCAATCATAAAAACCGCTGTATACCGTTTCAAACCGCTCGAAATCGCTGGATTTCAAAACCTCCTTCCCGCGAGCGTTTGCGGTTGGTTTTAAAAAGGAAAGAAACTAAAAAAAAAAAAATGAACAAATTAAAATAAATATTATCATGTCTTATATATATATTCACGTTAATTCTAAAAAAACAAAAATGATCTAACTTTAATTTTCTAATATTAATAATTATTTTTTTTCAATAAAAAATTTATTTGAATAATTTTTAGTAATTATTCATGGTTTTTAATCATGTTTAAAATTTTTATACTTTTTCATAATTATAGTTTTTGGTGTTTTTATATTTTTTCATAATTATATATTAAATTTATTTTGGTAAATTTTGGTCTAACCGCTATCGTAACCGCTGATCAACCAGTCGTAAATCCCACGCAAACGCACCCGTTTTTAACCGCTAAACCAGTCTATCAAAACGCTAAATAACGTTTGAAACCGTAACCGCCCGCTTTCGCAAACTCCCACAACCGCAACCGCAACCGGTGCGTTTAAACCAGTCAAGCCCTTAAGTAAGTTTCAATACTTCAAACTATTGGTCCAATACTTTCAATTCACAGTAGGTAAGAGACAATCCTAATGAAAATCTTGATTAGCAGATAATAGATTATTCATTGTATGAGTATAAAATCTTGGTGAGATTTTTGTACTTAATATCATTGATCCAGTTTTTATCTTGTGATCGATTTCAGATCCTCTTTGATGTTGGATTTAAAGTGAAATTTATAGATTTTTTTACCTTTTCGAATTTAGATGTTAAGGTGACTTGACTTGTAAGGTCAACAATTCTAATTCTCAAGTACTACTAGTTCAAGAGATATATAAAGAAGACAATCTCGCATATATATATTCGTAAATATTTTTTTATAATATCAGATTTTATTTCCACATGTTTTTATTGTTCTTCATTTTCACATTCATAAATAATATATCTGTTGATATTTTACCAACTAAGCTTTACACTTCTGTTTACTATAAAATGCAACCTCTTCACATTAATTTTTACAAGTTAATTCCAATATCAAGAGTTCTATTAGTTTACTTTTCTCTAATTTCTTTCGCTTGATTAGTTATAAATAAAATAAAATGAAGAGCTCTATCCAGTTAATCTCTACGCTTTTCTTCTTAGTTATACTTGTTCTCGCACCAGGTATACAATTCTAACTTCCCACAATTAATAAATAAATTGTAACTCTACTAAAATCTATGTTATACACACATACTTTAACTCCCTTTTTTATTATTTAATACAGTATTGTTTTTATGCATTAAATATTTAATTTAAACTTTGATGCTAGTCAAAATACTAACTTCTACCATCACTACAAATTATTGCAAATCACATCATTTTGCAAATCACATCATTTTGCAAATCAATAACCATAATTTATGAAAAATATATCACCAAAGTTTTTTTTTTTTTTTTCTGATTAGCTAACATTCGAATAGTATTTATTGTGATCAACTTATCAATTTTTATTATGACTAATTAAGCTTTACATAAACACATAAGAGCATGGAGCCATAAAAAAGATATATATATATATTTTTTTAATTGAATGTAAAATTATATTCAACCAAAAACCTTTTAACAATATTTTCATCTGTTTATTTTTAAACTCGTAGAAAAAAGATAGAGAACGACAACTTTTTTGGTCATTATTGATTATGTTTATTGTTACAAATTTGAATTCTCATTGAATTTATGATCTTATAGGTATGATGAAGATGGTTGAAGGACAACAAATGTGCGAAACTCAAAGCATAAACTTTAGGGGAATGTGTACGAAATGGAGGAACTGCCAACGAGTATGTATGAGCGAAGGTTTTCCTGACGGTCGATGCAAAGGATTTATTCGCAAATGCATTTGCACGAAGCCTTGTCCTGTTTCTACTTAAAAATTTTAAAAATTATTGAATTAAAGACATGTACTCAAAACGTTATCAATAAGATATGGCTACTACATTAGCTTTGATTAGTATCACATTTTTTTTTATCGAATTAAAATATGATGATTTTTAGTATTTTCTATAGTAATTTTATATATAAGTATAACTTATTTAATATTTAAAGGTTCTGAATGGTTTGAGGAAAAAAAAAAAAGGTTCTGAATGGTAACTTCATACCGTTTAGACAACTACTAATCACAGACGCGATATCAAAAGCGTTACTAAAAACATTATTTTCAGCTTTTTTTCTTTTTAATACATTTTTGTAATATTCCGTAACACCTTACAGTTTCCAGTTTTCAACTAAAAAATTTATACAATTATGTAACCAATCAGATCTCAAAATTTTGGATTTACATTTTAAATGGTCGTAACTCGCGTGACAAATATTTAGTAGTTTATATAATACACTATTTGTTTCAAAATATAAGATGTTTAAGTTAAAAATACGAATTTTAAAAAATATCAATTAGTACAAAATTCAACCAATCATAAAAAAGATAATATAATATAAATAATCTTAAAATATTAAACTAATCAGTATAGAAACTTAAAAATATTTTATATTATAGAAAAGAAATCTCCAATGTAAATGTAATTTAGTCCATAAAAGTTAAAAAGAACCGAATATTTAAAGAAGGTTGGTGTAACCTGTCTAGTAATATAGTCCACGTGTGTAAAATGCAATATAGTCAAACGACAACATTTTGAAACGATGGCAAATTCTTGAATTATTCTTCTTTTTATCACTCACCAAAACTAAAAGAGACATCAAGTTGTTTGTGAAAGAGAGAAATGGAGGAAGCTCTAAAGATTCAATCTTTGGTCATTTATCCGATCAAATCCTGCCGTGGAATCTCTGTTCCTCAGGCTACCGTTACTCATACTGGTAAAGTTCCTTTTTTTTTTATAATTGGTATGAGAAAGATTCCCTTTATATCATTCTTGATTTCTAGGATTGTGTTCTGTTTCTGTTCCATTATAAGTTATGGGTTTCAATGATACCTGAAAAGGGTCTTGTTTGATTTGAGGGAAAGTCAACAAATTTTCCGAGAAAGTGAACAAATTGTCTGAGAAATTGCTATAAATAGGGTAAAATGAGGGTGAAGACTAGAATTTTACCATTTTTTGTTGGCATGAACACAAAAATGATGGAATGTTTGATCTAATGGGTTTAATCTGTGGAAACTGATGTAGGATTTCAATGGGACCGGTATTGGTTAGTTGTGAACTATAAAGGAAGAGCATACACTCAAAGAGTTGAGCCAAAGCTTGCTCTCGTTGAGTCAGAGTTGCCTAAGGAAGCTTTCTTGGAAGATTGGGAGCCAAAAAAGGACTCATTTTTGGGTAAATTTCTCTACGAAAGTTGTGTCTGAATCGAGACTCGAATTTACCTTCTTGATTATTCATTTTGCAGTGGTAAGAGCTCCTGGTATGAGTCCGTTGAAGATCCCGTTGACTAAGCCAAGCTCAGTGGCTGAAGGTGTGTCCATGTGGGAATGGTCTGGCTCTGCGTTTGATGAAGGAGAAGAAGCTGCAAAATGGTTTTCAGATTATCTTGGGAAACAAAGCCGTTTGGTTCGGTTTAATAAAGGTTTTAGTTTACTTTCTTGTGAATCTTTTCATTTGCAACGAATATTGATGCACCGACTTGATCAAGTTATTTTCTACAGATACTGAAACTAGACCTTCACCTCCTGAGTTTGCAGCGGGTTACTCTACAACATTTGCGGATATGTTTCCGTTTTTGGTTGCATCGCAGGTGAGCCAATCAATATCGATAATTCCAATATCGGTTAATGAGAATACGCATTTGATATTCTTTTTGCTTTTGGTTCTTAGGCTTCTCTAGACCAACTGAATACACTTTTGCCAGAACCAGTGCCTATAAACCGTTTTAGACCCAAGTAAGCTATCAATCATCCCGAGGTCTTATTACCTTCAATGATGGTTGTTTTGTTCATAATTCGTGGTTTGTTGTTTCCATGTAGCATTCTTGTTGATAATTGTGATCCTTTTGGTGAAGATCTTTGGGATGAAATCAAGATAAACGATTTAGTCTTCCAAGGAGTTAGGCTATGTAGCCGCTGCAAGGTGAATATAATGTGAAAGTAAAGTACACTCAGATTCTCAAGTTGAGGTTTTAACCGTTTTGTTCTTTCAGGTACCAACTGTGAATCAAGAAACCGGGGTTATGGGTGCAGCAGAGCCAACTGAAACTCTGATGAAGTTCAGATCAGACAATGTCTTAATGCCAGACAAGAAACCGCGTGGAAAGGTTAGATATAAGAGCTCTAGTCTGGTTTTGACAAGAGACTTGTTGGATCCAGTTTGATGCTAAACCGATTCAATAAACTGATATTGATTTTGGTTTATGACAGGTTTTCTTTGGCAAGGAGATGGTTTGGAATTGGAACTTAACCAACACTGAAGGCAAAGGCAAGAAGACTATCAAAGTTGGTGATACCATCTCTGTCCTTAGGAAGATCCCTTCCAGAGCTGAAGCAGCTGTTTAAGTCACATGTATAAACCACATTTTGCTTCTTCTTCTTCTGTTGTGTTGTTATCTCTTAATGAAGTAAAGAGAGATACTTTCTTGCTCGTGTAAATTCCAAACTTCACTTGTTCTGTCTGAGTTTAATCTTGTTGAAAGTGTGATTTTGTTTGGTTTGAATAGTTTTCCCTGATCTTGAGCTTTGAAACCAGAGGACTTGGATTATATTTTTCCTCAGTAGCAATCAAAGTAGCCGTTGACACTTATTTTTACTCGAAACAAGAAGGAAGAAAGCCGAGATGTGCAATACTACAATACATTAGATTTGATACTTAGAGAGGTCTCTTTTTCAACATTTCAACTTGTCAGACTCCAAAAGTTGTTGAACAGCAACCAAATCTGGAAGCACAATAGCTCCAGCTTCTGTCCAGTCTTTAGCAGCTTCTGTCTTAAACCTATCAACCAACAAAGCATGCATCCCAATACTCTTTGCCGGAGCATAATCTTTACGCATACTGTCTCCAATATGCAAAACCTCTTCAGGCGCAATATTCCCCGCTCTCTCTAAGGCGAGCTTGTAAATCCTCGGATCTGGTTTCTCTATCCCTTCAATTCCAGAGAATACACCAAAATCCCACTCTGCCTGAAATGAACCATATGGCAAATATTGAGTCAAGTATTAAGAACCTAAGACTCTCACACACATTCACAATGAGTCCTTAGAGACTCTTCACTACCTTGTTCAAACCTAAGGCAGGTAAAATAACTTCTCGATATCGGTATTCTGCATTGCTAACAAGTCCGACTATAAGACCTTTCTTGCGTGCCCATCTTAAAAACGGTCGAGAATCTTCAAATACAGAGTAAGGTGCAGCAGAACCAAACGTCGAATAGATTCGCCTAAATATCTTCTCAAACGTCTCCTCATCATACTCATATCCAGCCTAATCAATCACCCACCATAACATCAAAGTAAGTAACACACATACACATATACACACGCCGAATATCGAAGAAGATAAAAAATCAAATCAAATACCTTGACAAATGAATCTCTCACACAAGTTTTCCACCAAACAATATTCGGCATTTTCGCATGAAAACCGAAACAAGGATACTTTTGTGCCATATCTGTATAAGCTAGTTTAAAACCTTCATGAACTCGTTTATAATCAGGACAAGGCAAACCAATGGCTTTAGCAGCCATACAATAGTAATCACCAAGCTCTCCTTTGTAAGCTATAAGTGTACCAGTAACATCTACTGTTATACACCGTAATTTCGATAAAAGCGACACGGCCATTTCAGATTCTTTCAACAAAATCTGCACAAAAATACACAAAAATGATCAATTTATTGATACTGATACCAAATTGAGCTCTAGTTTCTTCACCTACCAATCGACGAAAGAGATAAAATTTACAGAGAAAAACTGATTTCGATTTCAGGGTTTTGGCTCAAAAGTGGTGATTGATTAAACCAAGAAACAATAAATGATGGAATCTAGGCAAAGTATCAATTTTTCCAGCAGTTGAATCATATCAATGTAGGGTCACAATAAAAAAAAAGATAGCTTTTTTTTGCAAAAAGTACGGAAATTTGGACTAACCCGTGAAGGAGAGAGAGAAATTTGAAGTACCCAGAAGCTGAGAATCGAGGAAAAATATCTCTACATGAAAGAAATCGCCATTGTTTGTTTCGGCTTATCTTGGGTTTGCTTCTAAAAGCTTTTAAGCTAACACTAAAATGAGAGATCAAGAAGAAGACTCTCTTTGTATTTTTATATGCGTGTTTACGTGTTGATTATTGGGCACACAGAGAAGTTTAGGCAGCTAATAGAAATTTTTAATCTTGGTGTTTGATAGATTTCTTGAGAAATCGGACACTCTTAAAGCTTTAAAGGTAAATTAATTGCAGTTTTGGAGAGCAAGTTTAAGGGTATTTAGGTCATTTCAGCGTAAGGAGAAAGGTAAAGAAAAGAGTAAACCCATTGGATGGCATGACAGTGGCCTGCTGTATTGTCCTAAACCCAAAAACGGTTTCAGGTTTTCGATTTTTGTGTCTTTTTTTTTTTACCGTTTATTTATACTTTTTAATGATTTAACTATACTATTTTTTATGAATGTTTTGATAAAAAGAACAAATATAACATTACAAGTTTGTGGTGAATTATATTCATTTGAAAGTTTGTTGAGAAAAGAAAGAATTTCAATCTAACTAAATGTAAAGTGCGTTTTTATACTTCAACAAAGTCACAATATTTTTTTTAATCTCAACACTAAAATAATTCAAATAAACTACCCAAACTATTAGATTTGAACGAAAACTACATTGACTTAAATAAAATTAGTCAATCGTTTGTTTTGTTCACTTAAAATATATGAGGTATCATTCACCCTTTTTCCAAAGCTTCCTCTTGTCTATTTATCTAAAAACATGTTCACCAAACATGTTATATAAAAGATTTGATTGTGCTACAGTGTTTTTATA